CCATCTCATTCCTGTCTCAATGCTCTTTCCATAACACCCCCAAGAACTTTTGAGTAGCACGGGAATGAGCAAGTAGAAAATTTGAGAGCATGGAGGTGAGACCAGAAAAATTGAAAACCACAGTCCTGAACAACCGCCATGAATTAGACATGTGGAGAGAGATTTCAATTCAACTTTTTTCCTCGAGTCCCCTGTGTTGCCACCATCCTCCTTCTCCCCACATTCCTGAGCCCTCTTCTAACTCAGGGTCGTATTGAACATCACATCTGTTCTTGGTTCTAGGTGTGGTATGTTGTTGAGAAGCCCTTGGGGGTGGTGAACGTTGGGAGTCAGGAGAAAGGGGAGCCTAAGCCCTGGCTTAGGTTGGGGGAGGGAAGAATGTGCTGAAGATAGCTATTTCCCAGCATGCGCTTGGGCTTTCATTTGGGATAGAAAAAGATAGATAGAAAAATTTTTCATCTACTTCGTTCCTGACCTGCATCACTGGCCTTGCCCCTTCCTCTACTTCTTCTTCTAACGTTTGCTCTGAATCATAGAAATGCTTAACCCTTTTCTGTCTAAAGCAAGAACAGAAAGAGACCTGAGCCAGAGCTGTCCCCAGTGATACCAGAAGGGGATGTGGAACAGCATTCCTGAAAATTGTCTTGGGATGAGATTTGTAGCCTGGAAACTGACCCTGGAATTGTGTGCCAGCTGAGAGGGAGGTCAACTGAGAGGTCAGAAGGGAAGGAAAAGAAGAGATCAGAGGAGAATTTCCAATGGAACAATTTAGAGAAGAGTCTCACAGGATCATAGGAACCAGGGCTCAAAGGGACCTTAAAGATTGTCTGGTCCAACCTCCTCATTTTATAGATGTGGAAACTGAGGCTCAGAGAAGCAGAGAGAGACAGGGAATTTTGAGTCTGGAGTCAGCTGAGATGGGGAAAGAGGTGAGGAATAATTACAATATGGTTATAGGCTATAAGCTAAAAGGTCATTAACTGCTGTGTGAGATATTAGGGTTAGAAATAAGGAAGCCTGAGGACCATTAGACATCACATGAGGACCAGGGGATGTTAAAAGGAGCTGAGGCCTTAGTTTTACTTTCTTTTTACTCTTGGTTAAGGTTAAGGTTAAGGTTAAGGTCTATCTTGTCTGAAGGTCAGAGACCCGCTGAGGGGACCTCTCAGCTATTTCTCCTTTTTCCTTGCTATCATTTTTTCCCTTTTTCCCCACCTTAAGTGTGGGAGAATGGGTGACCCTAGTCTGTCTTTCCAGAGTCCTCTCTTACTATTTAGGATTTAACAATAAAGGCTTATGATCCTGTAGTCTTACTTATGGGCATGGTCTCCTTTACTGCTTCCTTCACTCTTCCACCAGAGATGCTGTTGCTCTTAGCCAACCCTTTCCCAGCCTCTGCAATCCACCCTTTTGCATCATTCTGTTTCTAAACTGTGCTTTGAAAACTCCTATCACCGAGCAACCAATCCCTGGTCTCCCTCTCCAGTCCTGGTGCCTGATCCCTGGGAGTAAAGGGCCAAGGGGAGGGGGAGAGGATTGGTGAGAGAGTAACAAGGAACTAATCAAGGTAGATGCTTCTCATGCCTACTCTCTCCCCACCTCCAACATTCAAACTCTTTTTTTCTCCCTCCTCCAGTCTTGCCCCGCCCTAAATTTTTTTTTTTTTTTGCCTAGGCAATGGGGTTAAATGACTTGCCCAGGATCACACAGCTAGTAAGTGTTATGGTCTGAGGTTGGATTTGAACTCAGGTCCTCCAGAATCCGGGGCCGGTGCTCTATCCACTGCACCACCTAGCTGCCCCTACCCTAAATCTTTTTACTCTGTTCCAGAGACCCTGCCTAGCGTTAGGTACGACTGACTATTCTGAAACCTTGTTTAGTATTTGGGCTCCCACCCTGACACTCAGCCCTTATTTATGACAATCTTCTATCCTCTACCTTTACCCTTATCCCCTATAATGTCCTTCCCATCTCTGATACCAAGACCCCTATTTAACATTTCTTTTAATAAAGTCTTGGTAGGGTTAGGGAAAAACAAAAACAAAACTAAACTAAAAAAATAAAAAAATATATCATATGTTTTAGAAAATTTCAGCTCTATGGTCAGCCTTCAATGTACCACTCTGACCTGTACCAGGAATCCTTTATGCTCAGCCCTATCCCCTGCCTCATTTCAAGTTCTGTGGGTCCTTCGGAGATACGGAGATAATAACACATTTCTGTTGTGCTTTAAGATTTAGAGAGCACTAGACTTGGAGTCAGAAAACTTGGCTTATGACTTCCTATCTGTGTGACCTTGGCAAGTCACTTCACCTATGAGGGCTTCAGGGCACAGTGGATAAACCACTGAGCTTGGAGTCAGGAAGACTCATTTTTGTGAGTTCAGCTGTGTCACCCTGGGCAAGTCACTTAAACCAGTTTGCCTCAGTTTCCTCATCTGTCAAATTGGCTGGAGAAGGAAATGGAAAATTGCTCCAGTACCTCTGCCAAGGAAACCCCAAATGGAGTCAGGAAGAGTTGAACATGACTGAAGGACTGAACCACCACCACCACAACAAAATATGAGGGATTAGTCCTTCGAGGCCTCTTCCTGCTTTAAAATCTATGCTTCTATAATTCTGAGACAATCCTGTCAGGTAAATGGTGCAAATTCTACTGTCCTTATTTTGCAGATCTGGAAACTAAGGCTCAGAGAGGTCCCAGGATCATAGGATCACAGATACAGAACTGTAAGGTCACATAGCTAGAAAATATCAGCACCAGGATTCCAACCAGGGTCTATACCTTACATCAGGTTAAGCCCTTTCCCCCACTATACCACGATGCTCTTCCTGTGACTTACAGAGATTGACTCAGGAGAGAAGCTCTGCTTAATACCCAAGAGGGCACATGCCAGTCTGAGCCTAGTCTCCTCTTTCTACCCCGCTTGTAAACAAAGAAAAAGCCATGGGGTCCTTGGTTCCTCTTCCCAAGAGATTGAGGCCCGAGCCTTTCCGTGTCTCCTTCCCCCTTCTCATTGGCCCTTTCCCATCCTGAGCTCCCTGGAGTCTAAGCAGAGGTAATAAAGCTAGAGAATAAGCCTGGGCTTTATTTCTTCCCGTCTCCTCAGATTCACTGGTCGATTTGGTTTCATTGGGTAAGTCTTCACTCGACATCCCTAGCTTGGCTTGGGTGGCTATATGGAGGACAGGAGTTTTTTCCTGGGAGACTTACAGGGTAGAGGGGTTAGTGTTCAGGGGATGGGAGGCTAGAGGCAGCAAACCCTGCTTAGTAGGAGAAAGAGCTTGGATTTGGGGTCAAGAGATGTGAGATCATCTGAGGCTCTGATGATTAGGAGGTGTCTGACCCTGGGCAAACAGCTTCCACTTTTCTGAGCCCCATCTGCAAAATGGGTTACAAAGATACTGAAGTTCAGACAAGTGAAGTGACTTCAGTGCCTAAGGTCACACAGCTAATTAGCAACAGATCTGGGTTTAGGAGAAAAGGGGAGGCTTAGGGGTGATGGGGGTGAAGAAATGATGAAGAGGGAGCCAGGTAGGCACAAGATGGAAATAGGAGGGGTCTTTTGGGGATCGTCTGTATAGGGGGAAACTCTCCCTCTTGTAACCCCAGAGAGCCCTCTAGCTCATCGACTCAGCTTCTTTGGGGAAATCAAATCACCTCAGTTCCTGTATGGTTACCACCCTAACCTCCCCAGAGGGGAAGTGATTTTCAAACCTGAGCCATGGCAACTAGACATACCCTTTGCTTCCTCCTTGCCCTGGGGTTTGCTTCGATTCTCCCCTGGCCCAAGGTGATGGAATCAGGAAACTCCACCTCCAGGCTTCTCCTGGAGAGGCCATTCCCCCTCTTGGAAATGACCTTCCCCTGGAAACCTTACCCAGTACTTTGTGTTGCAGCTCTCTGATATGCTTACCGTATAATACTGTATAGTCTAGTTATTTGTTTGAGTCATAGGCTCCTGCTAGGTCATGAGACCCAAGGGAGGGGAAGCAGTGTGGGAAAAGGTGAGGGACTCAGTCTTATCTCCCCTCATCTTTCATAGCCTCCCATATCTCCCCCAGCATCGGCATAGCACAGAGCTCTGCATATTTTTTACCTGTTTGTTTTTTGGTCTGGGCTTATGATTTCATCTGTATGGAGAACAACTCCCTTCAATAAGCACATCAGCAACTTCTCTGTCGATCGCAGTTTTAGAGCTGGAATTCTTAACCTTTTTTAGTGTCTTGGCCCCCTTTTGGCAGTAGGCTGATGGTCTACGGATCCTTTCTCAGAATAACATTGTTAAATGCATAAAAGCAAGTACATAAGATTAGAAAGGAGGCTAGTTACATTGAGATAGAGTTAACAAAATAAGTTTTAAAAATAAGTTCACCAGGGGTGGCGCAGCTAGGAGACGCAGTGGATAGAGCACCAGCCTGGAGTCAGGAAGACCTGAGTTCAAATTTGGCCTTAGACGCTCACTAACTGTGTGACCCTGGTCAAGTTACTTCATTGACTTAAAAAAAAAAAGGAAAAAAAGAAGTTCACAGATCCCAGGTTAAAAACTCATGGCTTAGAGAATTGCCTAGGGAATACTACAAAATTGACTTATACAGGGCTTATATGTGCTAGAAGCAGATCTTCCTGATTCTAAGGCTGGATCCCTATTTGTCATGATAAACTGCCTCTGCACTTAGTAGTTTTTTTTTTAATATTTATTTGAATGATTAATGAGTTAAGGAAAGGTATCTCTCTCTTCTCCCCTCCTATCTCTCTCACCTCTGACTCTTTCCCCCTCCTCTACCATCACTCTCCTTATCAGCCTGCTTTCTTCTAGCTTTCTGTGTCAGAGACAGGAGACCAGTTTGCAAGGTCTGACTACCTCTCCCCTACCTCCTCCCTATTGCTCTCTCTCTTCATCCCTGCTGCTTTTGTGCTCATGGTTCAGTATCGTCAGGACTTTCTCCTTGTCCCCCACATCCACTCTTTGCAGACTTCTTGGTTGATGAATCAGAGACCTGGGCATAGATGGGAGGTGACTCCCGAGTAACTCACTCCTTGCACTGGGTGGGGCAGAGAGGGAATGGTCATACCCTTATTCTCCGCTTTATACTAAAACTGTGCATCCCTTCTTCTCCACTTGAGACCATCCCCAGGTTCTCCCCTTCTCCCACCCCCTCAAATGTATCCCAGATGTGAGACTGCATGCTCCTGTGCCAATCAGTTCCATTTTTTCACAGCCATAGAAGCTGGGGAGTTCTGTCTTATGTCTTGTTTCAGTCCATCCTATTATAACTGAATCCATTTTCATGTGTGTGTGTGTGTGTGTGTTTGAATCTGGAGGAAGTTTCCTCTTGGGTTTAGCTTAAATCCCTTAGAATAGCATTCTTTCCTCCCCTCTCTTTTCTCTTTGTTTTTCAGATCTGAAAGTCTTGCTGGAATGGAGACTCCTCTTGAGAAGGCCCTAACCACCATGGTCACCACTTTCCACAAATATTCGGGAAGGGAGGGCAGCAAATTGACCCTGAGCAGGAGAGAATTGAAGGAGCTGATCAAGAAGGAGCTATGCTTGGGGGAGGTGTGTTCTCTCATCTCAAATGAGCTAATGAATGGAGACACTGATAGTACTTTATTGTCCTACCTTTCATTACTCAGGTGGTCTACAAACCTCTACTCCAACCAGATTCAAGACTGATCATCCCCTTGTCCTGAATCCAAGAGGGGATGCATTCGGTGGAGGAGGAGATAAGACCTGGCCCTGAGTGACCCCCCAGTTTGATGAGAAGAGATTAGTCTCTGCTCTTATGGAATTTCCAGTCTAATAGCTGTGAGGTGGGGGAAGATGGTGGGTAGTCTGGGACCTTTCTATCTGATGAGGAAGACACAGTCCTGCCTGCAGAGAGCTCCTACTCTGATGAGGAGACATTGTTGCTACCTTTTGGGAACTCTGTCTTATGGGGACACAGGATACAACTCTAGGCCTCAGAAAGAGACACAAATACAGAAAGAAAAAGGCAAATACACCAGTGCTAGGGTAAGGAGGAAGGAATTCAGAGGAACAGGTTGAGTAATTTCAGGTGAATTAGGGAAGGCTTCTGGGAGAAGAGTGTGAGGTAGTATTGGGAAAGACGGACCGTGACGGGGGCAGTGGCCTGTGTAAAATCGGAGCTCAGACAGAAGGAAGTGAGGGTCAGGGAGAACAGGGTGGATTCGGTTGGTAGGTTTGGCGGGCCATGGGAGATGAAGCGGAAGAGGATATTATGGGTGGGAGTGGGGAACAGGAGGAGGAACCAGGCTAGGAGAGACCTTGAAGAAAGGCAGAACAGCCTGATTTGATAAGAGATAAAGGAGTCATTAGATTGCATTGATAGTAGGACTAATAAATCCTACCGGTCTATTATACTCTGAGCTAGTAGACCTTTGCCCTTTCCCTGGGGAGTACACTCTAATCTTCCCTGCCCTATTCCTCATCTGTTAAATAAGGGAAGTGGATTAGATGGTCTCGTGTAGAAGCTAGTTCTTTTCTAGTGCTAGGCCTCTAGAACAGATCCTTTCTATTAGGTAGTGGAATGTAGTTTACTTTTTTTTAAAAGGGTGGTAGACTAGTTTTTCTAATCTGAGTTGGCTTTGCCTTCCCTGAACAATGAATGTTTGTGGGTAAACATGGAACCTGGAGATGAGAATAGAGTGAGGGAGAGAAAGAGAGAGAGAGAGAGAGAGAGAGAGAGAGAGAATACATATATATATATATGTGTGTGTGTGTGTGTGTGTGGGTGTGTGTGGGTGGTCTCTAAAACTCTCTACTATCACTCTCTGTCCCCTCTTAGAAAATGCAGGAGAGCGGCATTGATGAACTGATGAAAAGCCTGGATCGGAACAGTGACCAGGAGATTGACTTCAAGGAGTATTCTGTGTTCCTGACCACACTGTGTATGGCCTACAATGACTTCTTCTTGGAAGAAAATAAATAAGTGAATGATAGGCCACTGTCCTGGGGGCTAACCTTCCCAGTACAGCCCCTCATTAGGGCCTTCATTCCCATCCCACCCCTCCCCAATTATTGATAATGGGACTAATAAATCCTCTGGGTCTATTTTACCTAGAGCTAGTAGACCTTTACCCTTTCCATGGAGGGTACACTTTAAATCTTCCTTGCCTTACTTTCTTTCTTTTTCTTTCTCTCTTTTTCTCCCTCCCCCCTACCTTCCTTCCTTCCTTCCTTTTTTGGTCTGGACCTGTGATCTTATGGGTATATACCAAATGCAGATCAGCAACTCACCTGTAATTTAGAGTTGTAAAGAGCTATCTAGAGCCCTGAGAAGTTGTGACTTGCCCACGGAGTTGGCTAGCATGTCAGAAGCAGGATTTGAATCCAGGTGTTCCTATCTCCAAAACCAGCCCTTTCTATCCACTAGACTAGACCATACCGCCTCTCCTGTTCTCATTCTTTTTGAAAATGTTTATCAACGCATTTTTTCATCCACCATCATTTCCCAACGACTCTCCCTCTTTACCCCTATATAATCCTCCCTATTAAATGTTCAAATTATTTATTTAGTACTTTATTTTCCTCCAATTACATGTAATCCTCCCTATTAAAAAAAGAAACATAGTTAAGAAAGCAAAACAATGCATCGGTAGGGATTGACAATGTATGCCTTATTCTATCAAACAATCAATCAATAATCATTTATTAAGTGCCTACTATGTGCCAGGCCCTCTGTACCTGTAGTCAGAGGAGTCTGTTATACAAGGAAGGGAGGTTTGTTTCTTCATCAGTCTTCTGGAATCAAGATCACTCCACCCTCACTCTCCAACCTTCCTTTCCAGAAGCAATTCATTCTCTTTCTCCCTCCTGCAGATAAATAAATGTGTTTCACTTCAAGGTGTTTTGGGGTTGATTGATGACTGAAGGGAGGGTGGCAGGCACTCAGGGCATAGATCTTGATGAGGAGGGGGAAGGGAGAGGTCTCTTCAGTAATGTTTCGCTGTTTAAAGCTTCTGAAATTTCACCTTCATAGGTGTGGGTACTTCCCTCGCTTGTGCATATTGCAACCCTTTCTGATTCTTACTGGACAGTCTTCAAGAGCTGCTGCAGCCCCATAGCCACTCTGAACCATTCATAGTGTAGAACAGAAGAAGAGTGTGAGGTAGTATTGGTAGTATTCCCCGAGGTCAAGGACTTTCCATTTGTCTTTGTGTCCCAATACCTAGCACAGTGCTTGGCACAGATGATCACAGATGTGAGAGCTAGAAAGCACGTTTGTTGTTCAGTTGTGTCCAACTCTTCATGACCCCATTTAGGGTTTTCTTGGCAGAGATACTGGAGCAGTTCACTATTTCCTTCTTCAACTCACTTTACAGATGAGGAAACTGAGGCAAACAGGGTGAAGTGACTTGTCCAGGGTCCCACAATTAGGAAGTGTCTGAAGCCAGATTTTAATCCATGAAGATGAGTCTTCCTGACTCCAGGCCCAGCACTCTATCCATTGTGCCACGTAGCTGCCCACTGAGAAACACTTTAGAGGTCAAGTCCAGACCTTTGATTGTACAGATTAAGAAAATGAGGCTGAGAGAGGTTAAGGGACTTGCCTAGGGTTATGCAGCATCTGAGGCTGAATTTGAATGAAGGCCTTCCTAACTCCAAGCCTAGTGTTCTACTGCTGTGCTGAGACACACTGTAATCACTTAATAGATGTGTGATGAATTAAATTGACTGGTGCTTTCAATGACAATTCTGTTCAACAGACATTTACTAAATGAAACAGTACTTTGCCCTTAGGGAGCCTGCTAGGGCGATATTACATGTTCACAGTTAATATAAGGATGTTAAGGAGTTGGGCCGTGTTGGGGAAGAGAAAGCAAAAATGATGTGGTCTCTTGTCCTCAAGGAATTTAGATACTATTGAAGGATATAACACACATATACACACACATACAACACGCGCACACACACACACACACACACACACACACACACACACACACACGCGTTAGTAAATACAAGGATATTTAAGGAGGGAGAGAGCCCTGACAACTTGTAGGGCAGGTAGGTGGGAATCAGAGAAGGTCTGTTATATGAGATACTAACTGAGGCCTCATAATAAGCTTAGAGATTGGTAGAGATCCTGAGGTCCTTGAGGGCAGGGACTGTCTTTTGCTTCTTTTTGTAACTTGAGTGCTTAGCATAGTGCCTGGCACATAGTAGTCATTTATTAAATGTTTATTGAATTGAATTGCAAAGTATCAATATTCCCATTTTACAAATAAAAGATCCAAAGCCCACTGAGGTTAAGTGACCTGCCCAAGGTCTTCTAGATAGTATCAGAGCTGAGAATCAAACCCAGGTGTTCTGGCTTCAAATCTGGTGCTCTTTCTACTATACCCCAAGAATATCAGGGCATCTGAGTTCTTATCCTACCTCTCCCCATGCCTCCTTCTGCCTCTGCCCTGTCCCTGTGCCTGTTTGGAAAAGTCCCAAGCAGGGGAAGTCACCAAACCAACTCCAGAAAACCTACTGTTTTCCTCTTCTATGAAATGGGGAGACCAGTTCCAGCTCTGCAGCCCCAAGCTTCAGAGAAAACAGGAAATGAAGAGAAATCAGAGGATAAAGTTCCTTGAAATGAAATGTTCCATGGAAAAGCCTCCTATAATTATAATGGACATGCTGTCATGATTGTGATTATGATTATATTATGATTACATGAAACACACCGTTTTTCTAGCGCTTGACATAACTGTTGAGGTCAGAGTTTGTCTTCAGGCTTCTCCCTCCCCCACCTGCAGCCTCCCCAGTTAGGACCTTCTTCAAAGATGCCCTACTACTGCTGTTTTCCCCTCTCATTTCCCACACTTGCTAGCTTAACCTCTATGAACTCAGTTTTCTACCTTGGTGGGCTTGTTCTGTGGAAAATAGTCTGCAAATCTTAGAACACTGTAGAAATTAGTTGCTGCTGCTATGATTGTTATTCTCCACCCCACGCCACCCCTGCAAAACAAAAAGAAAGAAAGAAAAAAGAAAAGCCTGGCTTTCAGAAATGTTCTGACATACTCAGCTATGGGTAAATGTCTAACAAGGCTTAACATCTTACTCCTCCTAAAGTCTTAGGTCAAAGGTCTAATGGTGGGATATCTGGAGAGGAGGAGGGTTTTTTATTTCTTTTTTTTGACCGGGGTCTTTCCCTGGGGCCTCCTCCACTTGCAGGTATGGCTGAACCTGAGCGGGTTGTCAAATCCTGAATTCTTTTCTCTCCTTCAGACACATACACCCATACACAGTCTTTTCACGGGGCACACAGCAAGGACGCCAAAATCCATTTGTGGGCAATGGTCACATCAGTCGCACCCGTGGTGGGGTGGAAGGTAGGCATATCCAGAGTTAACACCAGGATGGGTGGAGAAGTAACACAGGTGATTTTCCTCACGCCATTTCACAGGTGGAAAAACTGAGTTCTTTAGACTAGCCAGAGAGCTCCGGCCAGACACCAAGAGGGAGAGGCTGCTCGGGAGCTTTGCTCTCCCAGCTCGGTCTGGATCTCTTGGGTACAGCCCACTTTTCTGCCCCAGGACAGCGCGAGCTAGAATGCGCCCGAAATGCTAGGGTAGGAGGCTCAAGCAGGGGAGGGAAGAGCATAGTTACGGAAGCAGGCGAAGGCCTGGCCTGGGGTGCGGTGTGGTGGAGGGGGGCCCCCCCTCCCCTAGTATGACGGGGCGTGGGGAAGGTGGGACCTCGGAGGGCCCGCCCTCGGGTCAGAAGGAGTGGGGGTAGGGGCCCCACGGCAAGGGGCTCAGACTATAAGAGTGGCCGGACAGTGACCCATCCTATCCTTGGGGGTCCACTTTTCTTCTCTGCTTTTCTCTGCCTTTGGTGAGTTCTTTCTCTCCCATCGGGACTGTGCCCAGCCCGCTCTCCGTTGATGCTCTGGTCTCTCTCTGCCCAGGACGTGCCCTGTCCTGGCCTCTCATCCTCCTCCTGGGTGGTCACTGTAGATTTCTTCCCCACCCTGGCTTTGTACTCCAGTGGCTGCTGAGAGCTCCCAGGTGGTGGGGTCACATCTCTTTGGGGATCCCTGCCTAGTGATGCCGCAGGGGCACGGGAGGAGCAGGGGATAGGGTGCCAGGGTTGGGATGAGCTAGAGTTAGATCCCGGTATGTAATTTTCTGGTTATGTGTAAGGGTTTGTGTTGCTGGATGATGAGTGTGTTCGGCAGTGTGACTATGTGGGTGTGATCATGACTGCGATGTAGTGGTAGAGGAAGAAATACGGCACTTGGGCATCAGGAGACCTGGGTTTGAGACCTAGCTCTGCCACAAATTAATTGTGTGACCTTGGAGGAGTCACTGCAGTTCCTCAGTCTGTAAAATATCAGAATTGGAACTGATGCTTTCTAAAGGAAACCTTTAAGGGAAAAATTCCTTAAAGCTTTAACAATCTAGGAGTGTGTGGTTAGAGAGTGTGTGGGCTGGCTTGAATTTGGAAGTTCCTTGGTCTGACTCCTTTCTCTCTTCTCTTGGACTCACCTAGCTGGTCAAATCCATGCCCCCATTTACTAAGTCCGGGATGAAGGAGTAGCCCAGCCTGTCGTCTGGGACTCTCTTCTCCCAGTCTACCCAATCTGATTTAGGCTTCTAAAAATCCCACTTACCTCTGCTATGCCCAGCCCTTTGGGCTTCTCACCTTCTCAGGCTTTTAAATCTAGGATTGTGGTCGGTGTCCGGTAACTGAAAGAGAAAGGCCCATCCCCTTGGCCTGGGGCCAAGGTGAACAACGATTCTTTGGTTCCTTCTCCCTCCCCCACCCATTCCTCTCTTCCTTTGTGGTTCCCAGCTCCCTCAAGTCTACCTGGCAGCTATGGAGGGCGTGGGTGTTCTGAATGAAGCTATTTGTGTTGTTATCGGCGTCTTCCACAAATATTCAAGCAGGGAGGGTGACAAGAACACTTTGAGCAAGAAGGAGATGAAGGAATTGATCCAGAATGAACTCCTTGGATCTGTTAGTATCTCACCCCTGACTCCGGGGCCAGGTCTTGCTTTTCTTCGCTCCACTTTCCCTTTTTGACTAGGCCCTGCCTCTGCCCCACCCAGTCTTTGCTCCTTCTGGAACCCATTTAGGGTGGGGCAGGGCTGGGTGGAGGTGGGGTGGGGAGCCAATTATCTCTTGTCGTCACCAGGTTCCTGAAAGGGGGGAGGGAGGAAGGGGATGGAGGATGGGAGAGTAGGTCCTGGAGAATTGAAAGTGATGGACAATTCCCACTGGAACCATAGCTCTCAGTCATTCCAGATATGCCTAAATCTGAGATCCCTGTCTTTTGTTTCCTTAATTAAGAAGTAGTGGGATAGGAGACAAAGCAAAAGAAAGAGACTGGGATTTAAAAAAAAAAAGAAATGGGTGGAATGGGGAATGTCCCAGATCAGAGAGAGCAGGATAAAGCAACAGGCAACAGTGCCCCCTGTTTAGGAGAAGGCTGTGAGGTTGAGGGTAGTAGTGGAAGGAGGCTAACAGAGGGAGGGGAAACCCCTAGGGGGGAAAAAGGAGGTCCCTTTAATAGAGTTTGGATTTCTCACTCTGTCATATTAGAAAATAGAAGATGCAGATGTTGCAGCACTGATGAACAGTCTGGACCAGGACGGAGATCAGGAAGTCAACTTCCAGGAGTTTTTCTCCTTCCTGGGAGCCTTGGCCATGCTCTACAATGAATTACTGAAGGGAGAGTAAATAGGCTGAAGAAAGGGAAACCAGGCTGAGGGTGCTGCCCCCTGCAGTCCCTAGCTGACCTGCCACAGCAATGGGTACCTGGTGGGGGTTTTGTGTATTAAATAAAGTCTGGAACTGTGTTTTGGTCTCTTTCTGATTCTTGATTCCTGACATGGCCGCAGTTTGTTTAGTCTCTTCACCCATAACTCTTTCTTTCTTTCTCTTCTTTCTTTCTTTCTTTCTTTCTTTCTTTCTTTCTTTCTTTCTTTCTTTCTTTCTTTCTTTCTTTCTTTCTTTCTTTCTTTCTTCTCTTTCTCTCTTTCTCTCTTTCTCTCTTTCTCTCTTTCTCTCTTTCTCTCTTTCTCTCTCTCTCTCTGTCTCTCTGTCTCTCTGTCTCTTTCTCTCTTTCTTTCTTTCTTTCTTTCTTTCTTTCTTTAAGTGACTTGCTCAGGGTCACATAGCTAGTAAATATCTGAGGCCAGATTTGAACTCCTGACTGCAGGGCTGGTGTTTATCCACTATAGCAGTCAGCTGCCCCCTCTCCCCTTTTGAATTCTATTCACTCTTCTTGGCTTCTATACTGTTAGAAGGGCTCCCCAGAGTGGGTCACTATTGCAATGTAGCCCCACCAGGGAGGAGGGGACCTAGGGGAAGTTAGAAGGCCCTGCTCCCTGAGTGGTTGTGGTTTAACTGGGCAATCTGCACAGACATAAATTTTTCAGGGCAACATATCACCAAGGCAAACTGATTGTATCAAGCTTCCTTCTAAGAGTCCTCTGAGTGGGACAGATTTAATTATGGAAGACTTCTTGGGACTGGAGAATTTAGGGTTTGGAAGGCGTTCACGTATATGGGCTTTTGTGGAGGAGGTGGGGTGCAGTCAGGCTGCATCAGATGGGGCTCCGGGGAAGGGCTTGTCTCTTTTTAGAATCACAGAATCAGATGTCTGGAAGGGACTCTTGAGATCATCTAGGCTAAAACTCTCACTTTTCAGAGGACAGTAAGGCCACTTTCCCTTCTATCCCCAAGTGACTTGTCCAAGGTCTTTGTAACTAAAGGGCTAGATTCTGGTCTCATGACCTCCAGCACAGTGCTCTCTTTCTCACTCATTCTGAAATTGCTGACCAGGACCTATATAGAGTGAGATACACAGTCATGGTCTCTGCCCTTGGGGACTTTGCAGGCTGAGATGAATTGTGATAGGACTGCCAGGATGGTCCTGAACCCTGAGCAAAGCTGCATTCTTGAGAGCCTTACCCCTCTGCTCCTATCTATCTCTTAGACCAGGGATAGGGAACCTTTGGCTTCAAGGCCACATGCGGCCCTCTAGGTCCTCAAATGCTGCCCTTTGACTGAATCCAAACTTCACAGAACAAATCCCCTTAACAGAAGGATTTGGACTCAGTCAAAAAGCTGCACATGTGGCCTCTGGTTCCACACCCCTGTCTTAGACCATATCTTAGTCCTCACCCAGATTCCCAACTACTTAGGCCTCATCTATTATACTAAGCCTATCCCCTGTTCTTGACACTCAGCCCTCATTCCTTGTACCCATCCTCTGTCCCTGACAGTCCTCCTTCCCTACACCCATCTCCCTATAACTGACACTCACTTCCCCATTCCCTATACTCATCCTCTGTCCCTGACACTCAGTCCTCCATTACCCATCCCCTGTCCCCAACACTCATCTCATTCCCTTTATCCTTTACTGACACTCAGTACCCCTTGGTTCTTACATTCATCACTAACACTTAGGTCCACTTCCTACAGGTGACCTCTTATCTCTGTCACACCCTCTGTCCTAAGTTTGGAAACACCTAAGGCTCTCCAATCCTGATTCTAGACGTTCAGACTTCCCAGCCTTCCTTTCAAGGGTAATTTAAAATTGCTCTCCTGGCTTGGAAGCTAACGAATGGGTCAAGAAGACCTTCTGACACATGCTTCTCAGACCCAGCCCTAGCCCCTGGGCCCAGGCTCCCTCTTGTATGTGCCACATGTCCTCCCTAGGGCCCTGAAGACTGACAGCTGTGCAAACATGAATCACTCTGAAAAGCTAAGATGTGGAGGGGGACGGAAGGAGTACAATATAACTACTACTTAAGGACTATTGGGGGTGGAATGGGATGGGTTCTACTGGGAAGGGCAGAGAATGACTTAAAGGAAAGTCAATATTGATCTGACCTATTTCCATTTTATCAGTTGACCTAATCAGCCACCTGGAACCTAACTGTTGCCAAATTTTATTCCCATTACACTCTATGGTGGGGAAGGATGATTAAGAAGGGACAGCTAGGTGGCACAGTGGATAGAGCACCGGCCCTGAAGTCAGGAGGACCTGAGTTCAAATCTGACCTCAGACCAAAACTTGACACTTACTAGGTGTGTGACCCTGGGCAAGTCACTTGACCCCGATTGCCAAAAAAAAAAAAAAGGATCTGGCATTGTTTGACTGTGAAGAAAGAGAGAAGGATTACCCCTAGAGGAAAATGGGAGTTTTGGTTAGTGAAGCAGTGTCAGCTGCAGAAACCTGCCTACATCCCCCTTCCAGGAGGCTCAACCTCCCTGAGAAGTTCTCTTCTGGATTCCCCTGAGTCTGGTATGGGGAAACACACCATTGCCCTCAGGGTGGCTTCCAGTTTGATGGAAAGACCCAATCCCTTGTCCTGGGGCAGCTTCCAGAGAACCATCTACTCATCTTGATCTTCTCTGGGGCTAGGCAGGATCTGGTCCTCAGCCCTATTCATAAGGAAGTTCTGGTATCCCTGATTAGGCATCTCTAGCTGTTTCTTCCCTCCTGACCCAGGGAGGCCCTGCTGACTGTCACAAAATAAGTTTCTCAGGGCTTCCTCTCACCAGAGGCCTCTAGACCGATGCAACCTGTGAGAACTGGAGGTAGCATGGATTCCAGGGTGGGATGGGTGTGGGGAACAGTGGTGTGAAGACCTTCCTAGGGGTTAGAAGCTCCTCCTTCCACCCTTCTGCCCCAAGGATTCTAAATAACAATGGTGACCCCAGGTCCCACTTCTGCTCTGGACTGACTCTGCTCCCTAAACCTGCCCCTGAAAAGTACAATTGTCAGGCATAGAGAATCAGTAGTCTTTGTGTGGGGAACTCAAGGGAGAGGGACATGTTTCCTTCTCTGCCCTGAGGCTGATGAGAGAGGAAGTTCCTACTCTGAGAAGCCTCCAGTCACATCTCCCAGCCCTTCTCATTATAATGTTCATTGCTTGTTATCCAATCAGAGTTGGTTGCTACCCTTAGGAACACCAACTCTTCCAAGGGCTTGTAAGCCTTGAGTGGGTTCCATGAGAGGTCTTTGGCATTCAAGAGTTCCACTGACCCCTTTTATTAATTAAAGTAAAATGTTAATTACTCAGAAACGATGTCTCTCAAACTTTTTGTATATCACAAATAGAGAGGAGCTAGGAGGGAGGACTTCGTGAGGTCTAGTTTAGAAGGGAGTATAGAACAGGCTTGCCTATGTGGAGAGGTGAAGCAGATGGAAAACATTTTGGTTTGGTTGAGTTTTACACCGTAGGATCTTTAATGGGGACTTCGAAGGAGAAAGCATTATGGCTACTACTTTAGACAGTGTTTCTTTTGTCCTTCAGAGAATACCTACCATCCTGGCATGGTTTTCTGCTGTGACGCAGAAAAAGAACACTTCTCTAGTGTTCAGAGGTGCCATGTTTTTTACCCTTGGGATTGCAGCTCTTAGAAGTGATGGGGCTTTTGGAGACATGTGCCTGCTCTCAGGTGATGGGAAAGAGCTATACTCTTCTCTTGGCCTCCTGAACCTTGGCCTGCTAGGGATGCACCCAGCTGACTGTGGTCACAGAATTTAAAAGCTGAAAGGAATCATATCACCAAGTCTGACCTACTTTTTTTTTTTACAAATGAGGAAACTGAGGTCCAAAGAGGGTTAGTGATTTGTCCAGGGTCTTAAAGGATCATGGATTATAGACTTAGAGCTGGGAGGAACCCAGTCTAAATCTTCCATTTTACAGATGAGAGAACTGGGGCTCAGAGAGCCCAAGTGATTTACTGAATACCATATAGATACCAAAGAGTAGAGCTGGAATTTAGGATTTGAACCCAGGTTGAAGGCAGCTGGTGGCACAGTGAATGGAGAGCTGGGCCTGGAGTCAGGAAGACTCATCTTCCTGAGTTCAAATCCTACTAGCTGTGTGACCTTGGGTAAGTCACTTAACTCTGTTTGCCTCAGTTTCCTCATCTGTAAAATGAGCTGGAGAAGGAAATGGTAAAAACCACTAGAGTATCTCTGCCAAGAAAACCCCAGGGGTCAAGAAGAGTGGTACATGACTGAAACTACTGAACAAACAACAACAGCTACGTGCCTTGCACTGTGCTAAGCACTTTTTACAATTGATATCCCATTTGAGACTCACAACAACCCTGTGAGGTAGATGTTCTAGTATACTCACTTTACAGTTGAGGAAACTGAGGCAGACAGAGGTTAAGCGACATGCCTAGGGTTACATAGACTTAAGTATCTGAGGTTGGATTTGAACTCAGGTCTTTCTTACTCTGGGTGGCAAAGAGGATAGAACACTGGGCTTGGAATCGGGAAGACTCATCTTCCTGAATCTTGGACAGACAAGAAGTACACTGGATAGGGCACTGGGCCGGCCGTCAGGAAGACCTGAATTCAAATTCCTAGAAGTCAAGGACTTTCCATCTCTTGTTTGTTGCTGTGTCCCAGCGCTAGCTCAGTGCTTGACACCTGGGGTCATAGATGTTAGAGCTCAGAAGCACTTTTTTTTATTGTTCAGTTGTGTCCGACTCTTTGGTAGCCCTTATAAAAACCTTGGGAGGTATGTGCTTGCATTACTCCCATTTTACAGATGAGAAAACTGAGGCAGACAGGAACAAAGTGATTTAGCTTGGGATCATACAGCTAGTAGTATTTGAAAACTGCGTGTGGGGGAGAAAATTAGATTTGTCCTTCCTTTTGGGCCTCAGAGGGCAGAACCAGGAGCCATTGCAAAGTGGCAAGTTTATGTTTGACGTTGGGAACAAATTCCTAGAAATTAGAGCTTTGTTTTTGGCTTTTTCTGGAGACAGTGACTCCTTCACTTTGAGGCCTCAGTTAAGAGTCTTGAGCATATCAGGAATGTCG